TATTTTATTTTATTTTATTTTATTTTATTTTATTTTATTTTATTTTATTTTATTTTATTTTATTTTATTTTATTTTATTTTATTTTATTTTATTTTATTTTATTTTATTTTATTTTATTGTAAATATTGTTCACAAACAGGTTCACGTTAATACACCGATGTAAATGTATGATATGTAGATAGGAAAGGAATGATCTACTAATGTAACTTATTACACACGTGTTCGGAATATCTTTATGAAATAATTTTGCTTATTTGAAACAGGTGTTGTACAAACAGCTGAAAGTTGTGTGATCAAGCTAGGTTATTCAACGATAGTGATGTCATAATGCCGAACTACTTTACAATAATTATAAGCTGACCAGTTGCTCTCCATTCAAGCAGTTTCTGACCAAAAATATCAACCAACCAAAGCGTTCGGTTTGTGGATAATTGAAATTCATTTTTTGTATTCTGGGGATTAGTATTGTTTTTCAATTGATTATGTTAATTGTTTATTTTCATCTATAAAGTAGTCGTGACAGAGTTATCACCCTTTCGTTTTGTTTACATCCGGCATCGGCTGCCGACGAATGGCTGGTCCAGACTCGATTATTGACAGATCGCCGCCATACAGCTGGAATATTGCGGTGTGAAATTAAACTCACTCAGTCATTTATTGATGTATGTGAAACATATCTTGATATATATACCGAGAATTCACAGGACAGTAACAGTAAGGCATTCAAACGGCATGTATATAGGATGAAATTCAATCCGTACATCGTGGATCCCGTGTATGTAAGACATTGAAACACATATAGTTCGGTTCATAATTATAGAAAATTTTCATGTCAATTCGAACTCCAAGCTTTATTCATGAGCTCCACTGTTGATGAAATTTTGTTATCAGTCCAAGGGAGGCAACTCTTCTTACCTTGCTAGATATGTCAGATAAGAGTTACCTCCCCAGAAAATTAAGCAGACGACATTTTCCAAAACAATGTCCAAAATGGCTGCTGAAGAGAAAAGTAAGTTGATTTTCGAGTTGTACAATGGACGTATCACTGATGTCCATACACTGTCAGAAAGAGCAGACACTCCTCTTTCAACTGTGTACAGGGTTAAGAAGAATTTGGAGAGTGGAGCTGGGATTGTGCACAAGAAAGAAGCAGGGAGGCCTAGAAAATTGGAATGTGGAGATCGGGTCAGACTTGGTATTTTGGCTTCAACCAAGGAAAGAGCAAGAGTAGAGAGGAACGATGACTCCAGACATGAACGACCGTGTTTTGTGGTGTCAGGATTGGAGCATCATAATTTCACTGATGAAAGTTCAGTCTGGGTGTATCCAAGTATTGTTAAGATGTGGACAAAATCTGATTCAGCACCGGCACCGGCGTACCACAAGCCGAAATACAGTACAATGACCCAAAACACACGGCAAAACAATCCAGTGGTTCCAAGAGACAAATGTGACGTTGCTCCCATTTCCCACCAACAGCCCGGATCTGAATCCCACTGAGAACATTTGGGGGGATGATGAAAGAGTGCGGGTTGTGGCACGCATCATGTATGTTCAATGGCAATAGTATTTGTAGCGGCCCGCCTTTTCGATAGTGCTTCGGAGTTGCTTCCCTTGTATTTGTTGCATAAGGTTGCATCCAAGCTTTGCTAGAATGCTCGAGAACTGAGTAAGAGTTATATCAAGATTGGTTGTTGAGTTGTGCCACGGGTCTTTTCACATGACTGGATTTATACACATATGTCTGCCATCGTAGAGTTGCTTAACATTTCAAGACTGACCGTGCTTGCCTTTTCAACTGCTGTCATTGTAAACAACTTTCAATCAGTATATCAGTTCTCACTGTAAATGTCAAGACTCTGGTGAGTTAATATTTTAGATTTGTGACCCAATATTTTAGATTTGTGACTCAATTGCATTGTACTAAAAATCTGTATTGTCATTCATTGTAGCTTGCTCATTGTTTGTTCAATATATTATTGAATATTTTAGACTTGTCTGTGTTCTATTTTGCTGGTTCAAAGGGGGACTTTTAAACCTTTTAACCATAACAATATATCAACAGGGAGTAGGTAAAAACAACATGTATGTATGAATCAAGGGGATTAACAACAACAACAACAGCAATGGATGTGGTGATAACGTAGTGACAATAAGAAGAAGCCAATTGTCCATGAGGCAGAAACAAAATATACATGGTCGATAAGATTAATTAGCAATGACAGCTGGGGTGTTCTAAGCTGTTGTTTCTTTACAGTTCATTGTGTGCAGATGGGATGTGATATCCTGATCTCTGTTTATTGAGGGCTTGTGTCTTCGGATTTGAACTGTTTCTGCAAGTTTTCTTTTTGTGAAATCTTGGAGGTGTTTCGACAATATCTCTACATTGTCCCAAATTATGTTGTGATTAGGACAGTTGATGATGTGGTTTGATATTGCTGATTTTCGGTCTGATTTTGTGGTAGATGATAAGTGTTCTATGATTCTGATAGATATCAGATTGTGAAACAGTACCGCATCTACCTTACTGACTATGAAACTATGATACAAACAATACGTCACAACTACAGAGTACAACTACTACAGAGTGCAACTACAGAGTACAACTACAGAGTGCAACTACAGAGTACAACTACAGAGTACAACTACAGGGTACAACTACAGGGTACAACTACAGGATACAACTACAGAGTACAACTACAGAGTACAACTACAGAGTACAACTACTACAGAGTGCAACTACAGGGTACAACTACAGAGTACAACTACAGGGTACAACTACAGGGTACAACTACAGTACAACTACAGGGTACAACTACAGAGTACAACTACAGGGTACAACTATAGAGTACAACTACAGAGTACAACTACTACAGAGTGCAACTACAGGGTACAACTACAGAGTGCAACTACAGAGTACAACTACAGAGTACAACTACAGAGTACAACTACAGAGTACAACTACAGAGTACAACTACAGAGTACAACTACACTAGAGTACAACTACAGAGTACAACTACAGAGTACAACTACAGGGTACAACTACTACAGAGTACAACTACAGAGTACAACTACAGAGTACAACTACAGGGTACAACTACAGAGTACAACTACAGAGTACAACTACAGGGTACAACTACAGAGTACAACTACAGAGTACAACTACTACAGAGTGCAACTACAGAGTACAACTACAGAGTGCAACTACAGGCCAACTACAGGGCACAACTACAGGGTACAACTAGGGTACAACTACAGAGTACAACTACAGGGTACAACTACAGGGTACAACTACAGAGTACAACTACAGAGTACAACTACAGAGTACAACTACAGGGTACAACTACAGAGTACAACTACAGAGTACAACTACAGGGTACAACTACAGGGTACAACTACAGAGTACAACTACAGGGTACAACTATAGAGTACAACTACAGAGTACAACTACTACAGAGTGCAACTACAGAGTGCAACTACAGAGTACAACTACAGGGTACAATTACAGAGTGCAACTACAGGGTACAACTACAGGGTACAACTACTACAGAGTGCAACTACAGAGTACAACTACAGAGTACAACTACAGGGTACAACTACAGGGTACAACTACAGAGTACAACTACAGAGTACAACTACAGAGTACAACTACAGAGTACAACTACAGAGATTCGGATACTTAAAATAAAGATTAGAACGCCATGTATTTTAAAGCATGGCTTTCGATTATGCGCAACAAGACGTGACCATACGCTAAAGTAAAGCAACACAATGTAACGTTTTAAAACGTAACACGGGGTTTAAGGGGCAGTCATACGCCAAAAATAAATACATCGGACGTGTCTTGCGCTGTCGTGACTTTAGTACTATATTCTGTAGATGAAGCACATTCGGCTTCTCTATTACCAATACATAACCCTATGGGCGAACCTTCCCATCGTGAAGTACTGGCGTCACGATATTAGACACCCGGACATTGAAGCAATGCATATTTGATACACAGTTAGTGCGACTAAAAACACATGCACAAAGACAGTCAGACAGCATACACAATCACTCTTTCGTGGGTCACAAAGGACATATATCTGGAATACCCATACTGCGTATAAGCTGTTTCATGAGTCATCTGCGTGTTTCAATATGTTCTTGTCAGATATATGTTTAACATGCAAGAAAAGAGTTTGACCAGTGCGGTCTCAGCTACCTAAGAGCCGCCAAAGGTGTATAAGACAGGGTTTGGAATACTTACTGAGCCAGACAGGTACATTGTAGATACTGAAGAGGCCTTAGCTCAGCGTAGATTAAACCTTAATGCTAAGCACAGGAATGTAGGGGCGGTGGGGTAGCCCAGTGGTTAAAGCGTTCGCTCGTCACGCCGAAGACCCGGGTTCGATTCCCCACATGGGTACAGTGTATTAAGCCCATTTCTGGTGTCCCCCGCCGTGATATTGCTGGAATGTTGCTAAATGCGTCGTAAAACTAAACTCACTCACTCACAGGAATGTCTGATCCAGAATCGATTAATAATCTCGTGAAACAACTCGAATGTTACCGAGTAACAAGCTCAACAATTGCCTCAGGGCAATGACATAACTCAGTTGAGGTTGTTTGAGTTGATTTGAGTTGCCGCTTTTATCAATTATCAAAGCGGAAGGTATATGATGTCGTCTACTTGAATTGTATATGTACATGTGAAAACATGGATGTTCGAGGGGAAGTGTAAACGCTGAAGTCGCTATACTCCCCGCCTATCTAACCACCGTAATACGGGTACCAAGTTATCATACTGGACATGCACGCACTCACGCACCATTATAATAATAATAATAATAATAATAGCATGCTTGTAATGCGCTGTTTTCCATGTACAACATGCTCAAAGCGCAAGACATAGATGTACATACAAACAGACTATAGGAGAGAATATATATGATCATCTATAGGAGAGAATATATATGATCATCTTAATTATAATAACTTTATTCAACAAACAAAATCAAACTGGTGAAAATATATTTTATTTTTTTGTATACATATATTTCAAAAATTTGTACGAAAATACATTTGCGTCAAGAAACGTACTTGTAAACAGGTATGGTTTACCTGGAGGTGAGTAAACAAGTTAACAGCCATTAATATACAATAAGGATTTCTGTATATACAATATATCTTGGTGAATCTGTTATGCAAGGTGTAGATTGGAGATCCAAAAAGCATCAAGGACATTTGAACATTTACTTTCTACTGTACTATGAAAATCTAACGCTACACGATTACTACACGATTGTGGACATGGATGAGCTTGTGCGTATGAAATAAAAAAGAGAATGTCATCGTTTTCTGACGTTTCAAATTTTACAGCCTTAAGTTTGCTATAAACCTCAGAGAAGATTTCCGGGATTACAGGAGTACACAGAAATCTGCAAACAAACAAAACCCACGATTAGAAATGCAACAACAACAAAAAGAAAGAAATGCAACATAAACACTCATAACTAAATATAGACAAATTTATGTTATTACATGTGTCTAAATGCTACCTAAACTAACGCCTTGACAAGACAGTAGAAGATCGCTCAACAACATGGATAACCCAATCTTTAAGCTTCTTCGAACTCAAACAGTTTTCTATGCACGAAACTGAAATTAGGGGAGGTCTGTTTCTAATACAGGAAACATGAAATATTGAAAAGCAATTTTGAAGTATTTTTTTAAATGTGTCCCCTATGTTTCTTTCGAAAATTGTTCAAATGCAGACAGGGCAAGCTATGTTTTCTGCTGAACATGACAATCACAAAATGAAGAACAGTGTTTGGGATACATATGTCCATAAATTGTTTTACTATGAGGCTAATGTGGCTGTAAACGGTACCTCATCCAGTTCTCCTACGAACTTAGTTCCTGAAGTACTGGTCCCATCAGAACCAAAGCGCAATCCACATTCGATTATGTTGGAGTCAGATGCTGTGTGGAAAAAAGATGCAGATGACAGAATGGAAATATGTCAGAAATGAGAAGTCAAGACATGACTTTGTTTAAATGTAGAATTCTAAAAATGGTGTAGTGGGCCATTGTAGACGTATAACCTCAATTTAAGTTTTAGTACACACTGTGCAAACATTATACAGGAAGAAAAGTTCAACAGAAGTGAAATGACTTCAAGAACCTCCACTCACAGACCATGTGAAGTTACCACGATGACACTGATTGTTCGTTTTTTTATTTGGTAGTTGGCAACATCAGTTGGAAAAAACATTATGCCTTTTTTGTGATTCCTTCCTTTAACTTCAGATATTAATGAATAAGTTCGTGACAAGCACCAATGTACTCACCATACACTCTGGCTGTATATGTGATCGTTTCTGACGCTAAGGCAGCCACTATATCATAGCCGCTGTATATCAAGGTTACTCTCTTCCAAGAAAATCTCGACATGCCCTGTGAAGAAACATACGAAATAATTTTGTTAACTAAAACAGGAATAAGAATATTGTCACAAGAAACACTGTTTGTTTTGCCTGAAAGCTCTCTTGTACAATAGCAGGTACAATTTTGAATGCGACCTGGCCTGAGTACAATCACCACTACATCTTTGAAAAGGACCTATGTAGTAATGTTTTGAGTATAACAACCCTTACATCTTTACATACGAAAGATGTTGTAATGTGATGAATACAAAAAATCATTACATCTTTGAATGAGATCAGTGTAGCTGGCAAATGCTTCTAAGCAGCGTTAATGGTGCACTGAAGTGTTTTATTATTAGTGAGTGAGTGATTAAATTTAGTTTTACGCCGCACTCAGCAATATTCCCGCTATATGGCGGCGGTCTGTCAATAATCGAGTCTGGAACAGACAATCCAGTGATCAACAGCATGAGCATCCATCTGCGCAATTGGGAACCGATGACATATGTCAACCAAGTCAGCCAGCCTGACCACCCGATCCCGTTAGTCGCCTCTTACGCCAAGCATGGATTACTGAAGACCAATATTCTAACCCGGACCTTCATGGGTCTTTTATTATTACATTTCTATGACACTAAGCATACACAGCTTAATCATAGTCTCTCTGTTAATGATCGGAGTGCAATTTCACGGTAATCCTAGGTAAGGGACCAACAGGAACTTGTTTTATCTTGGAGCAGATGTTTGATGAACGTTTGAAGTCATGTAAATGTTTCTGTATGAATGATTGATATAATGTCATTGAGGTTGATATGTTATAATGCTGTTGCTTTGGACATTTTTACTACATTGTGGTATGTTGTATTTGCTGTTGAATATCAGTAAGTTCTGTATGTTATTTGTATCATTTCGTCTTGCAGTTGGTCATCAGTATGAGTAGAATATTCTTGCTGTTAGTGGTTCGTTATATGGTAACATATTTTGTGGTACGATATCGTTATGATACAACACGGTATAGTGGGGTAGCCTAGTAGTTAAAGCGTTCGCTCATCACGCCGATGGCCCGAGTTCGATTCCCCAAATGGGTACAATGTGTGAGGCCCATCTCTGGTGTCCCCCACCGTGATGTTGCTGGAAAGTTGCTAAAAGCGGCGTAAAACTAAACTCACTCACTCACTGTTATACAACACGTGTTTGTTTTTGCTAGCGGATGTCAGGAGACCCGGATGTATTGAACATGTCATGATCCAATGTTCATTCTTTGAAGTTCTAACTATGTGGCATTTAACAACAAATTACTCACCGCTGTTGACACTGGCAGTTTAACAGTGCGGCCGTACCAGGACATCACCTCAAATGTGACGTATTCGTTATCGATGGCGATGACGAGGCTGTTCTTTTCCTTGCAGTTGCTGCTACTCACCAGCACCCGACGGCCACTTGACGTGGTTGATTCTCGGTAACGGAACCTCACAATGTTAGGGTGGGTGGTGTTCCTGTTGCTGATCGAGACGTTGGCGAAGAACGTGCTGTTTTCGTTGAAACTGGCAATGCCGTTGGCAACAGTGACGTTGCTATATGACAAATAGGTTGCAAGGGCAAAGTTCAGAGATCCCTGGTTGTTGAAATTCAGCTCATAGCGAGGTCCACATGCTGAAAAATAAATAAGGTATACATGTGGTACAATGTCTTAAGCATCCGTTTCTGAAGTAAATACCCTTTTGTGCATACAGTAATGTGTGGAATTGCATTACAAACTTAAAGAACGTTGGTGGATGATAACCACGCTTTGTAAATATTTTATCTGTGCTGACGAAGATTATTACCATGGAAGGGATGTAACTCCTTTTTTGAGCGGCCAAGGAGGCAACTCATTTAAGCTCTCATAAAATATATTCTCATTTCCTCGGTTATTGATTTCATGTCTATAATTGTAAGATGTTTTTTCTTAAGGTGTAATAGTGCTAGTTGGGTTTTAACAATGGACCTTCCCCACCAAGCTCAAACGCCGTCGCGAAACTGTTATGTAGTTTATAGAAACGTACAAATCCGATCATGCGTCCTCTTTGAATGGGCAGAAGAATTGTATAGAGGGACAATGAGACTGAACGATGTTGATCGTCACAAGAGCACATTATCCCATCAGGTGTAACGCCGTGTTAACAGTCCACTACTACTGCTAGGAGCTATTAAATGTTCACTATTCATTCCTTATCCCTGTTCGGTGGCCGACCTGAGAAGATCCGGGTTAGAATCGATCTTCAGTAACCCATGGTTGTCGTACTAACGGGATCGGGTGGCTAGGCTCTCTGACTTGGTTGACACATGTCATCGTATCCCAATTACGTAGATTCGATGCTCATGATGTTGCTGATTGGCTTACATACAGGCCGCCGCCATATAGCTTGAATATTGCTGAGTGCGGCGTAAAACTTAACTCACTCATTATCAGCGGCTGCAATATTAGAAGTACCTGGGTCAAGGACGCTGCATCCACAGTCGGTGACGTCGAAGTAGGAACTGGACACACAATCCGTCGTTATCTGACCGATGCTGGCAAAGGTCATGTTGAAGGAGGCAATGTTGGTGCCCCAGACAGGGACCTTAGCACACACGGCTGTTGTTAACAAAAGAACACACCGATATAAGTCACATTGCATTGACCACACACACACACACACACACACACACACACACACACACACACACACACACACACACACACACACACACACACACACACACACACACACACACACACGTGTGTGAATTCATATATGCAGTTTATATTAGTAAAATGATCATTTCAATACACGATACATCACATGGGAACATGTAAATTGCAATCTGTCATTTAGTTTACGAGAAATTCAAAACGTTCCAACAAGTTCACTCGTTAACAGGATTCGTCCATTAAGACTACTAGTCAACTTTGAGATAGCACTGGTGTGGTTTGGGCTTCGATGGCATTGTCGCATTACTAAAGTTTATCTTGTGCTGGCCTCATCATGGCTGTGTATGGTGTTCCACATTACTCGTTCACATTCATTCTCTGCATTACCTATCTCTCCACAGGATGAAGGACATGTGTCACGACAGAAGAAGTTAGGTCTGCAGCCTTCGTCCATCACGTACATGAAGCCTGGATTGCAACACTTCGCAACTGATGCTCCTCTAGAACACTCCCAATAGGATCTGCAACCACCGTCCATCCTGTAGTGTGGCTTACACTTGCCCGTGCATCGTTCTGAAACATATACAATAATCTAAACACATGTTTTGCTTTGTTTGTTGTTTAACGCCCCACTCAGCAATATTTCACCTATATAACATCGTTTGTAAATAATCCAGTCTGAACCACACAATCGAGTGATCAACAGCATGAGTATCGATCTACGCAATTGGGATTCGATGACATGTCAACCAAGTCAGCGAGTCAAGATGGCTATGGTACTCTGTGTTCCGTCTTATTCTTTCGAACTAAAGCCTGTGGCATGCTAAGGGTCTGTGACTGTACCACCTGCATAAGAAACAAGCACGTATTTCTTCGGAGATGAAGTAAATGTTGGCACTGACATGTCTCATTTATTGGAAGTTCTAACATATCCTTCAGGGAAACAATTTGCATGACGGGCAGGATTTTTGCGGAGACGTTTGGTTTTCACTATTAAGTAGTAACACGTAGGCGTGTGCGTATTGTAAACTGGGAATCGGGGCATGGTGGGCGAGATGTCTAAGGCGCCTTGCTAGTGACCCAGGTTGCTTGAGGTGTAGGGATCGAGCCCACCTGTGACCGGTTGTAAAGACCTTGGAGTCAACTTTGTGTGCAGACTCTTTCAGTGTTGTCACAACTCCTGGTGTACAGTACACAACCCTGTGCACTTAAAAGAACCCACGAATCCGTTGGTGTGCAGTAAACTTGGACAAAGTGCTGTGACTATGTGTCCCAGTCCACCCAGCTCTGAATGGGTACCTCGTAAGGATGAGGAGGCCACAAAACTCGGTGCGCCTTATGGCTGCAAGTGTTGTATACTCCACAGAGAGTTGAGATTGATAATATGATGTGCCGTTGAGATTGACATCAAATGATCGAGGAAGAAATACCAGCGCCTTGAGCATGTACTAGCTGCGTGGATATGTGCGCTATATAAATATCCTATATTAATAATCGTACAATGTACTTTGCTCTTAGTAGAGATCTTCATCACCAAATATTTTGTCGCTTGTTATCCCTTGGCAGTGACTTCAATATGGTGCCTTCATTTCTCATTATGTAATTATAAAAATACAAAAGTTTAAACCGATGCACATTTCGGTAACGTGCTTACCAAGAGGACATGTGACCCTCCAGTTTTCGTCACACTTGAGATTGGTCTGGTCCCAGTAGTAGCCGGAAGGACAGGTTCTGTAGACGCCGATGACGTTACCGTTCGGGTTGTAGTAGCATTGGATGTACTTGTCACAGTCCATTGGGTGACGACCGTACCCCACACCATTCCTGTTCTGGGCGTTCCTACACAGATCTGTAGAGGCTGAAACACAAACCATCACATGTCTGTTCACAACCCAATAGACGCTAGAAAAGATGTGCTGAAGATGTAGCATAGGGCATTGCAGATATCTTCAAGAGGCTACACATATCATCACAAATCTGTTGACATCCTATGAAGGTGCGAGGGAAGCATCGACTAACCCTGGATTAACCCTGAAACAATTTTGCTTATGTCTGTCCGCGAACATGAAGTGCCTTCACCATCATTTGTTAAAGTAGAATAGTCAAAATCGAATGTTTGGATATATGTTTGTAGTGTGGTTTTCAGGATGTTTCGCTTGGCGTGTGCATGAGCCAGTCGAACACTGATCTCTCTTAATGAGTTAACGAACATGACTTAAAAAATACCATTTAGCATCTTTACCTTTATGTAATAGAAAGCCTAATAGTTGTCTGGATGAAAAGTGTAAAAATTGACCAACACACAATGTAGCATAGGACGGGATATATTGAATAAAAAGATACATTTTCACATTTGTGAGACAGATATATTCATTCATACCTGTTTGCACAGTCAGTGTTCCCGTAGTTGTCAGAAGCCCAACCTGGTAGGAGTATTGTCCTGCATCAGATGACGTGACGCCTGTGACTACCAAACGTTGAGTTTGTCCACTCACTGAGATCTGATACTTGTTAGAGTTGGTTAGCGGTTGTCCATTCCTGGTCCATCTTCCGTTGTTGATATTAGCTTGTGATAGTGTTATCTCAAAGACCGCTGTTGCTCCCGATGCTACATTTCGGACAGGTAGTCCACTGGTTATGCTCAACGCTGTTGAAAAAAGATGTTATTGCTATGGTTTATTGTTTTGTAATACTTGCCTTCACCGATAGATTTCTTTGTTAATTCTGGGTAAATGTAGTCATTTTTTTCAAGGATGGTACATTTGCCAGAGCCAGGATTGAGTGATGTAGGGTTTGAATTTAAATTACAATGAATTCGCTCCTTAGTTGTCAGCACCGTATCCAAAATAATTGGTCTCACCAAAGCCCTTAAAGTCTGAGACATACAAATCTCTGGAAATATCAGCCCACACATGCATAAACACACACACAAACAAACAAACACACACACACATGAACACGCACACACAGATAGACACAAACATACACACACTTGTAGCAATATGGATACACACTTGCATCAATAGCAGAAACTGTATATTCATACCTGTTTGCACAGTCAGTGTTCCCGTAGTTGTCAGAGGCCCAACCTGGTAGGCGTATTGTCCTGCATCAGATGACGTGATGCCTGTGATTACCAAACGTTGAGTTTGTCCAGTCACTGAGATCTGATACTTGTTAGAGTTGGTTAGCTGTTGCCCATTTCTGATCCATCTGCCATTGTTGATATTAGCTTGTGAAAGTGTTGTCTCAAAGGTCGCTGTTGCTCCCGCTGCTACATTCAGGTTCGTTAGTCCACTGAGTATGCTCAACGATGCTGAAAAAATATGTTATAGGTTTATATGATTTTAGCACTTGTCTTCACTGATGGATCCTTACTTGTAATTCTGGGTAAATGTAGTAACTCTCTTTAAGACAGTGCATTTGCCCGAGCCAGGATTGAGCGATGTACATGTAGGGTTTGAATTTTATCTACAATGAATTCGTTCCATGCTTTGTCTACTGAACTTAATTGGTCTCACTAAAGTGGTCAAGATCTGAGACATGCAACTCACAGAAAAACATCCAACCGCACGTGCATAAACACAAATACACCATTTCAACACCATGGATAAACACATATATTAACGTCCGTGCACACGCACGCACGCACGCACAGACACAGACACATGCAGAAACATGTACACACACAGGAACAAAGAGACACCCTTGCATCAATACAGAAACTCGAACGCATCACAATGTGCACGTACACACACCTGCAGTGTCATGGACACTATCAGAGTCACACACGTGCAAGGACATGAGAGAAAACAGTGCTGCTGAACTGCAGCCGTCGCTATGGAACATTATTCTAATGCCATCGAACTGCCAATTTGTATTTCTTCTCTGTGGTATATCTGTGGGATATGACCCAATAGGTTAATCTCATCTGCACCTTGAATGCGGAGAGTTGCCTCCCCTGTAAGGCCAGCGACCCGGTATTGGTATGTATATCCCAGCGTCGGATAACTGAACGCTTGTGATAACCAGAATGTGGTACTGTCCAGAAACGAATGACTGTCTCCCTAAAGTACCATGTACCATACATTATTTTGATACCAGGTTCCCAGTGTGACACCGCTTTGTGACAACTGGACATAAAACGTGACATCTGCAAACTGTAGGTTTAAACTGACAGGACTGCTTGACACTGACATCGTAGGGATACAAACAGAACATTACGTGATTACGTAACTAAGAAGATGATAATACATCAACAACAGTTTGATGAAATCAACACCCTTGCAGCAAGATCAACACCCTTGCAGTGGTTACCCTGTACATTCATACCTGTTTGCACAGTCAGTGTTCCCGTAGTTGTCAGAGACTCAACCTGGTAGGTGTATTGTCCAGCATCAGATGACGTGACGCCTGTGATTACCAAACGTTGAGTTTGTCCAGTCACTGAGATCTGATACTTGTTAGAGTTTGGTAGCTGTTGTCCATTCCTGAACCATCTTCCATTGTTGATATTAGCTTGGGAAAGTGTTGTCTCAAAGGTCGCTGTTGCTCCCGCTGCTACATTCAGGTTCGTTAGTCCACTGAGTATCCTCAACGCTGCTGAAAAAATATGTTATTGGTTTATATGATTTTAGCACTTGTCTTCACTGATGGATCCTTGCTTATTAATTCTTGGTAAATGTAGTAACTCTCTTTAAGACAGTGCATTTGCCCGAGCCAGGATTGAGCGATGTACATGTAGGGTTTGAATTTTATCTACAATGAATTCGTTCCATGCTTTGTCTACTGAACTTAATTGGTCTCACTAAAGTGGTCAAGATCTGAGACATGCAACTCACAGAAAAACATCCAACCGCACGTGCATAAACACAAATACACCATTTCAACACCATGGATACACACATATATTAACGTCCGTGCACACGCACGCACGCACGCACGCACACACACAGACACACATGCAGAAACATGTACACACACAGGAACAAAGAGACACCCTTGCATCAATACAGAAACTCGAACGCATCACAATGTGCACGTACACACACCTGCAGTGTCATGGACACTATCAGAGTCACACACGTGCAAGGACATGAGAGAAAACAGTGCTGCTGAACTGCAGCCGTCGCTATGGAACATTATTCTAATGCCATCGAACTGCCAATTTGTATTTCTTCTCTGTGGTATATCTGTGGGATATGACCCAATAGGTTAATCTCATCTGCACCTTGAATGCGGAGAGTTGCCTCCCCTGTAAGGCCAGCGACCCGGTATTGGTATGTATATCCCAGCGTCGGATAACTGAACGCTTGTGATAACCAGAATGTGGTACTGTCCAGAAACGAATGACTGTCTCCCTAAAGTATCATGTACCATACATTATTTTGATACCAGGTTCCCAGTGTGACACCGCTTTGTGACAACTGGACATAAAACGTGACATCTGCAAACTGTAGGTTTAAACTGACAGGACTGCTTGACACTGACATCGTAGGGATACAAACAGAACATTACGTGATTACGTAACTAAGAAGATGATAATACATCAACAACAGTTTGATGAAATGTAGATTACTATATCGTGTCTTCATTACAAAACTTCCTCATCAGGAAAAGAAAACTGAAAGTTTTTCACTTGCAGTGAATGGGATCGAACGCCACTTTGACACTCAGCCACGTAGTAATCGTAGTTCTGACCGAAGAAGATGTAGCAGCAAGACAGAAAACAGACTTCCACCAACAAACACACTCTTACTTGAACTTAAACATATGTTTGCAGCAACAGGGGTGCAGACACCCGTGAACATGCATGCGCCCTTGAGGCAACAGGAAGACAAAATTGCATCAATATGAACACCAATGCATCAATATGAACACCTTTGCAGCAATACCAACACCAATGCATCAATATGAACACCTTTGCAGCAATACCAACACCCTTGCATCAATATGAACACACTTTCAACAATATCAAGACCCTTGAAGCAATATGAATATACTTGCAGCAATATCAACGCCATTGCAGCAATATCAACACCTTTGCAGCAATATCAACACCCTTGCAGCAATATCAACACCCTTGCAGTGGTTACCCTGTATATTCTTACCTGTTTGCACAGTCAGTGTTCCCGTAGTTGTCAGAGACTCAACCTGGTAGGCGTATTGTCCTGCATCAGATGACGTGACGCCTGTGATTACCAAACGTTGAGTTTGTCCAGTCACTGAGATCTGATACTTGTTAGAGTTGGTTAGCGGTTGTCCATTCCTGATCCATCTCCCGTTGTTGATATTAGCTTGTGAAAGTGTTGCCTGGAAGGTCGCTGTTGCTCCCGATGCTACATTCAGGTTCGTTAGTCCACTGAGAATGCTCAACGCTGTTAAAAAAGTTATTATTGATTAATATTGATTGAGGACTCGTCTTCACCGATGGATGCTTATATGTAAATTCTGTGTAAAAGTAGTCATTTTCGTAGGGACGGTGCATTTGCCTGAAACAGGATTGAGTGATCTAGGGTTGGACAAATTCCATTCACGATGCATTCCTTCCCTGGTTTTGGGATTCTTTAGAGGCATTTAGGGAATATACTCGTCTTATTTTCCCTGGTTTTGTCTCCACCTTACACAGACACATAGTTTCAACACCATGGATACACACATGTATTAATGTACACACACACGCGCACACAAACATGTACACACACAAGAACAAAGACACACACTTGCATCAATACAGAAACTCATCACAATGTGCATATACATGGACACTATCAGAGTTACACACGTGCAGGGATAAGTGAAAAAACAGTGCTACTGAACTGCAGCCGTCGCTATGGAACATTATTCTAATGCCACGGAACATCAAAGATGTATTTCCTCTCTGTCGTATGTCTGTAGGATATGACCCAATACGATAATCTCACCTGCACCTTGAATGGTGAGAGTTGCCTCCCCTGTAAGTCCAGCAACTCGGTATTGGTATGCCCCAGCGTCGGATGACTGAATATTTGTGATAACTAGAATGTGATACTGGCCAGAAACGAACACCCTTCTCCTTCCATTAATGGGCAACACTACATTATTTTGATACCAGGTTCCCAGTGAAACACCATTTTGTGACAACTGAACATAAAGCGTTGCTTCTTGTCCAACCTGTAGGTTTATGATGAGAGGACTGCTTAAGATTGACACTGTAGGAATACAAACAGAACACATGCATGAACGTAATGCTACAATTTCATCTGTTTGATGAAATGCATGCTAGGACATCACGTCGTTATGTCAAAATCGTCATCAATGACGAAAAAAACAGCCTGATAGCCTTTTCATTGACAATGGACAGGATTCCGCGCCACCTTTGTTAGTACTCCATGAGCATTGTGATATGAAGTAGCATATATTACTAGTAGTAGTACCGGTAGTCGTTGGAGGAGCTTAAGACGCTGCAGCGGCAGTAGCAGTAGTTGTAGTAGTCGTGGTAGTAGTATTAGTAATAGTAATAGTAGTAGTAGTAGTAGTGCTCGTGATGGTGTTGGTGTGGGGATGGGTGGGGACCAGGGGTTGTAGTAGCAGTGGTGGTACTGATATTGGTGGTGTTTGTGTACTAGGTAGTGATGGTGGTAGTTGTGGTAGGTGGAGGTGTAGTTGTTGTGGTTTTAATGGTGGTTGTAGTGTTGATGTTGTTGTTGTTGGTGGTGGTGTTGTTGTTGCAAGTGGTAGTGGTAATGGGATTGTTGATGTGGTAGTGGCGTTGATGTTTATGATTGTGGTAGTGTTGGTATGTGTGTGTGTGTGTGGGGGGGGTTGTCATGGTAGTGGTGATGGTGGTAGTGTTGGTGGGGATTGTCGTGGTAGTGTTGGTGGAGGGGTGTTGATGTGGTAGTAGTGGTGCTGGTGGTAGTGTTGTGGGGATTGTCGTGGTAGAGGTGATGGTGCTACTGTTGCTGGGGGATTGTCGTGGTAGTGGGGGTGATGGTGGTGTTGCTGGGGGATTGTCGTGGTAATGGGGGTGATGGTGGTGTTGGTGGAGGATTGTCGTGGTAGTGGGGGTAATGGTAGTGTTGGTGGGGGATTGTCGTGGTAGTGGGTCGGGTGGTAGTGTTCCTGGGGGATTGTCGTGGTAGTGGTGATGATGGTGCTGCTGTTGCTGGGGGTTGTCGTGGTAGTGGGGTGATGGTGGGGGTAGTAGTGGTAGTTGGGGTGATGGTGGTGTTGGTGGGTGTAATGGTTATGTTGGTTGGGGTGATGGTTGTGTTGGTGGGGGTAGTAGTGGTTGTGGGGTTAATGGTGGTGTTGGTGGGGGTGATGGTGGTGTTGGTGGGGGTAGTTGTGGTTGTGGGGGTGATGGTAGTGTTGGTGGGGGTGATGCTGGTGTTGGTCGGGGTGGTAGTGGTTGTTGGGGTGATGGTGGTGTTGGGGGGTTGATGGTGGTGTTGGTGGGGGTAATGGGGTTGTTGGTGGGGGTAGTAGTGGTTGTGGGGGTGATGGTGGTGTTGGTGAGGGTGATGGTGGTGTTGGTGGGGGGGTAGTAGTGGTTGTGTGGGGGTGATGGTGGTGTTGGTGGGGGTGATGGTGGCGTTGGTGGGGGTGATGGTGGTGTTGGTGAGGGGGGTAATGGGGTTGTTGGTGTGGGGTAGTAGTGGTTGTGGGGGTGATGGTAGTGTTGGTGGGGGTGATGGTGGTGTTGGTGGTGGTGGTAGTGGTGGTTGTGGGGGTGATGGTAGTGTTGGTGGGGGTGATGCTGGTGTTGGTGGGGGTGTAGTGGTGGTTGTGGGGGTGATGGTGGTGTTGGTGGGGGTGATGCTGGTGTTGGTGGGGGTAGTGGTGGTTGTGGGGGTGATGGTGGTGCTGGTGAGGCTAATAGTGGTTGTGAGGGTGATGGTGGTGTTGGTGGGGGTAGTAGTGATAGTGGTAGAATAAGCGGAAGAGGACAAGGCAGGAAACAGACAGAATACAAATACACAGCAACTTCAAAACACACTTGCATTAACATGACCATATACTGGCAACACACACCCATAAATACACACTTGAAGCAACAGGAATACACACTGCAGCAACGAAGTCACATAACCCACAGCTTATGCACACACACATTAGAATTTTGCATATTTTCCTGTCACTATACAGAGCTACTAAATTTTACACAGTCTTTTGTTTCGGAACATACCACACTAACAAAGCTACCAAAATATTCCTGAATCAGATCACCATGCAAACCGCTAAACGAGCCACCTCAAGAAACAATTGCCGTCATATGAGCCTTATGATAGTCTGGTTCATCCAATCTTCTACGTATTTATTGTCTTAAAAGAATTCGAGAGGAAACGAATGTTTGGTCGCCATTGCTCAGTGCAATGGTGGATGAACCAAAGCACTAACAGACCGGTTTGGAAATAGATGAGGAAATATATCATTGCATCAATAACACGAGTTTTCATACTTGAAAACAAATGTATAAAGGCATGAAAAATGTTGCATTAGTCATAAGGGTATGGCACAAGCGCGTTACATGTATAAAGTAACGTATAAGGTATATTGTTGGGGGCAATGTTACAGCAAGTTAAACACATTTGGATTATACTAAGCATGACAGAAATACTGTTACCGCAGCTACGGAATAACCATTGTTCAATTCTTTCGGACGTAGCTGAAATTATTTATAAACTCAATCCGATAGAGACCCAGTTGTCTGGTGACCCACATGCAGTCATCACTGTTATACTTGGAATTGAGAAGGGCGTCAAACTTCAGTATTTCATCTATGAAGTTGCTCCTCGACCCTGACATATAATATTCATTCGCTTCAGTGCATTCCGTGGATTCAGTGACCATCATTGCTTCAAGACATTTTCATGATCCAGAGTCAGATTTTGAACGACTGCAATTAGCTCGTCTGAGAATAATGATAAACAATTTTGATGTTAAAAAATTGCAAAGTCCGGAATCCAATGAAACACCTTCAACACTGTGTCTTGTTATAAGACAATAAGCGTCAATAAGCCAGAGTCAGAATCTTTGGGTTTTAACATGTTGATTCGTATGCATATTGCATTGTTTAAAGCTTACACTAGCCCGGTCGTCTTGAAAATCAGTAACCACGTTGGTGAAGGTAATATTGCCTTGAAAGTTTTAACTAGCATATCGTTCCGTTACAATTCCATGCAACGTTCGTCTGACGTCATCACTCTGTTCGCACCAGTCAGCTTTTTACACGAGCTCAAGCATACATCACCTATGCTAAAACCCAACAAAGCAACCAATATAGAAAGATGGTCAGGCTGGCGGATTTCACCCAAAAAGTTAAAATGCTTCAGAAAATGATAAACGTATAGTAATGTTTAGCACCCTGCAAAAACAGAAAGTGTCAGCTACAAAAATACATTTTGGAAAACTTATTTTTTATATACATGTGGGTACATACATATATAGCAAATATATATTTAACAAATACAGCTATAGCTGTAGTCACAAAATCAATATATCACCACAAGATATGACCTCGAACACCTTTCAAACTTACAATTAATACATGTGTACAATCAACTGAATTGTCCTGCAAATACAGTGTTCTTTTGATGAAACAGGAAGACGTGTCTACAAACAAAAGTGGCAAATGCAGAATGCTGATTGCAAAAGAAAAACAGTAAGAGACAGATATATTCTTACGTGATTGTACTGTCAGTGTCCCCGTAGTTGTCAGAGACTCAACCTGGTAGGAGTATTGTCCTGCATCAGATGACGTGACGCCTGTGATTACCAAACGTTGTGTTTGTCCAGTCACTGAGATCTGATACTTGTTAGAGTTGGTTAACAGTTGTCCATTCCTGATCCATCTGCCATTGTTGATATTAGCTTGTGAAAGTGTTGTCTCAAAAGTCACTGTTGTTCCCGATGCTACATTCAGGTTCGGTAGTCCAGTAATTATGCTCAACGCTGTTGATGAAAAATATGATATATTCATGATCACAGTTGCAGTAATAGTATTCCATATACATGCTTATATATCTATATTTGTTAATTGGGGGACATAATGCCTGTTGGTTTAAATACGACATGATTCCCTGTGCAAGGATCCAGTGTTTTGGGGATTGAATTAAATATTCAATGATTGTGATCCTTGGGTTGTCAGCACCGCCTGTAAAGCAATAGAGGTTTACGACTTGCGACACTCCAGCCTTTCCCGTCACAACGGGATATAAGTAGTTTCACATGGACGTCATTCCCCCTGTTCCCCGTTATTTAGCAAGTTAGGATTTCACTAATGTGTTTTTAGCAGCTCATATCGCGTGAAAGCGAAAATGGGAATAGTCCACACGAACAGAATGAGGACAAAGTTAAGTCATTGTATCTGCTTATGTTGAATAACAAAGTCCGACAAGGCCGGTCCCAAGCCCGGTAAAAGGAAGAACGTTTGGTGTGTGACCAGCACCCCAACCCTGTAAAACAATACTTAGCTACAAAAAACGTCAACTACAGATATATTCATACTTGTTTGCACTGTCAGTGTTCCCGAAGTCGTCAGAGACCCAACCTGGTAGGCGTAATTTCCAGCATCAGATGAGGTGACGCCTGTGATTACCAAACGTTGTGTTTGTCCAATCACTGAGATCTGATACTTGTTAGTGTTGGTTAACAGTTGTCCATTCCTGATCCATCTTCCGTTGTTGATATTAGCTTGTGAAAGTGTTGCCTGGAAGGTCGCTGTTGCTCCCGCTGCTACATTCAGGTTCTGTAGTCCACTAATTAAGCTCGCTGTCGATGAAACATATGATATAGTCATGCTCACAGTTGTAGTAATATTGTTCAATATGAATGTTAACAACTCCGTATTTGCGAAACAATCCAGCCATTCCTGTCACACCGTAATAAGTAGTTTCACAAGGACGCTATTTCCCTTGTTCTCCGTTACTTAGCATTGCACTAAATTCTGTTCACAGCTCATATCGCGTGATAGCGAAAATGGGAATGGTCAACATGAACAGAATGAGTACAAAGTTGTTATTTTTTCATAGATCGTGCACAGATTTCACATTTGCCTGGTGATTAAATTGCGCTTTCAGAGTTATCCCAGATGTTGGCATATTTTAAACTGAATGCTCGTGTTTGTGTTTATATTGTGTGTGCGGTTTGATTTAAGGTTTCAAAGTGTGTGAAACAAATGTGGGACTGATTTCGTTTTGACAAACTATAAGTAGTTTCACAGGGGCGTTATTTCCCCTTTTATTTAGCAAGTTAGGATTGCACTAGATTGTGTTAGCAGCTCATATCGTGTGAAAGCGAAACTTGGAATGGTCAGCACGAACAGAAGAAGTACAAATTTTAGCCATTTTACCTGTTTATATTGAGTAACAAAGTCCGACAAGGCCGGCCCCAAGCCCGGTCAAAGGAGGAGGGTTTGGCGTGTGGCCAGCACCCCCACCCCGTAAAACAACACTCAGCTACAGAAACGTCAACTACAACAAAGGAAACCCAATATATGGAAGGAGAAGGGTCCTCGGCAAGAACTATCACGACATCTCGTGGTGAAAGCCGGAAACACACGGAAGCCACAAAGTCGACAACCCTTCCATCGTCCAGAACCATCAACATAGAAACATGGAATGTGAAGACCATTTTCAAGACAGGAGAATCTGCCCACGTTGTAGCAGAAATGAAGAACTTCAACCTCATGATATTAGGAATCAGCGCGACAAGGTGGGTACAATCAGGACAAACCAGCTTATCATCAGGAGAGACAGTGCTCTACTCTGGACACCCGGAAGACCAGCACATAAACTGAGATTGAAGAAGAGCTGGATGGAGAAGGGAGGAAATAGAAGGACCCACAATGTCAATCTGTTGAAGGAGGTATAGAAAAGAGAACCATTCGCACTGCAGAGTGGTTTCAAGTGCTTAAATGCCTAGAGAAGGAAGAGCAATTTTTGAAAATCTGCGGTAGAATACAAAATATATCTTGAACAGAAACTGTCAGGAATAGGTTGGATTAAAAAAAGCAACAGCAAAAAGATTGGATGTCAACAGATATCAACAAAGATGCTCAACACAATCCAATGTAGAAAGAAAATGAAGGCAGCAGTTAACAACAGTCGGACAAGAATTGATAAAGCAAGGGCAAATAACAACTTCGTCAAGGCAAACAAGGAAGTAAAAAGGAGTTCAAGAACAGATAAAAGAAAGTACATCAACAGCCTTGCTGAAAAGGCAGAGGAGGCAGCCGCTAAGGGCAACATGAAACCACTGTCCGACACAGCAAAGAAACTGCCCAGCAAGTATAGCAAACCAGAAACATAAGGATGGAAACACCATCGGCGGAACAGAACCACAGCTAAACAGCTTGACAAAGCATTTTGAACACTGGGCAAGTGGTGAGGGGGTTGGATATTGACTGCATGCAGGACACCTTCAAAGCAGGAGATCAGAAAGGCTATAAATCACCTGGAGATTGAAAACGATTCAGGCCCAGACAACATCCCAGCAGAGGCACTTAAAGCAGAGTCGGAAACAACATCAGAGATACTACATGCCTTATTCGCCAAAATATGGGAAGAAGAAACGGTAGCAACAGATTGGAAGGAAGGTAACCTTATCAAGACAGCAAAGAAAAGGAGACCTCAGCCAATGTGCCAACTACAGAGGAATAACACTGCTCTCAGTCCCTGGAAAGATATTCAACAGAATCCTCCTGGCACAAATGAAAAGCAAAGTAGATTCCACTCTAAGAGACAATCAAGTTGGCTTTCGCCAGAACAGATCCTGCACAGACCACATAGCCACACTCCGAATCATCATGGAACAGTCACTAGAATAGAACAGATCTCCCAACGTCATAAATAACTCATTTGAAACATCATCTTGTAAAGTGAGGACAACTCAACCCAAGCTTTCAAGTCAGAACAGGAGGTAGACTGCCTGCTATCACCGTTCCTCCTCCTTCTTGCCATAGACAGACAGACAGACAGCATTACACAGAAAAATGGAATAGAATGTACAATGTGGAAACAGCTGGATCACCTTGACTTTGCCGATGACCTTGCCTTACTCGCCCACAGTCGACACCGAATGCAAGACAAGACCAATGAGCTAAACAACATTTCTCAAGAAGTAGGCCTGAATATCCTCCAGGGAAAGACCAAGATCCTAAAAGTTCATGCAAGCTATACTGACCCAATCACACTAGATAACATTACTCGAGGGGAAATAAACACCTACACCTATCTGGGTAGTACTGTGGACAAGCAAGGAGGAACAGATGCTGATGTAAGGGCAAGTACTGGAAAAGCAGGGGCAGCGTATATACAGCATGGAAACATTTATAGAAACAAGACCATCACAACAAGCACCAAGCTCAGGCTGTTTAATTCCAATGTCAGTCCTACAATACGGAGAAGAGACATGGAGGACCACACAACTGACCATCAGCAGAGTGCAGACACTCATCAACAGCTGCCTCAGAAGAACCCCCCAGATCCGTTGGCCTCATACCATAAGAAACATCGCCAGATACCAACAGAGGAGGAAATCAGAAGGAGATGGGACTGGATTGGTCACATCCTAAGCAATCCCGCAACCAACATCACCAGACAGACACTAACCAGAATTCCTCAGGGAGAAAGAAGGAGAGGGAAGCCCAAAAACGCTTTGCGACGTGACATCGATGGAGACATAAAGAAAAGTGGATTCATTTGGAAAAAGCTGGAGTGGAAAGCCCCGGGCAGGGGGATCTAGAGAGCTGTAGTGGACGGCCTATTCCCCACGAGGGGTCAGGCCTCAGTAAGTAAGTATATTCAGTAACAATGAACACGAATGCTTAATTCCAAGATAGTGTTTATGTGAAACATCTTTTGGAGAGTCTATAATATCGGTGACACATGATTTCTTTCCAATGCATCGTCATTGGAATCATAAACCAAAGGGAAACTAATTCACAGAATAAAATGGATGATCATTATCTCAAAGATTGCTTGCTTTAATAATCTCAACGCAAATAAAGACTTTTGTCTATTTCTGTGTAGATCTTGCACACAGATGTCACAATTGCCTGGTAATTAAATTTTCTCTTTCACAGTCATCCCCGAACATTTCAACCTGAATGTTCGGGTTTGTGTTTATATTGTGCATGTGTGGTGTGATTGATGGTAAACCTACAAGTGTATGAAACAATTGTGGCACTGGTGTCTCTTTGACAAAACACACAGCAAAATGACCTGACCAAATGACAATATTCCTTCAGTTTCAATAATACTCTCCAAAAATGAAAACAAAACCTGACAGATCATTTCTAAAAGTTGGATTTTAGTTTTCTTCTATTCTTCTGAGACAGATATATTCTTACCTGTTTGTACAGTCAGTGTTCCCGTAGTTGTCTGAGACTCAACCTGGTAGGCGTAATTTCCAGCATCAGATGACGTCACGCCTGTGATTACCAAACGTTGTGTTTGTCCAATCACTGAGATCTGATACTTGTTAGAGTTAGTTAGCTGTTGTCCATTCCTGATCCATCTTCCGTTGTTGATATTAGCTTGTGAAAGTGTTGCCTGGAAGGTCGCTGTTGCTCCCGGTGCTACATTCTGGTTCTGTAGTTGAGTGAGTATGCTTAACGCTGTTGATGACAAAATTATATATTCATGCTCACGGTTGTCGTAACAGTATTGAATAAAGATGTTTAGAGATCCATATTTGTTGATTGGGGGACGTATCTGTTGGTTTAAATACGACATGATTCCCTGTGCCAGGATCTAGTCAGTTTGGGGATCGAGTTCCATCCTCAACGACTGTGATCCTTGGGTTGTCAGCACCGCCTCATTAAAGCAATAGAGGTGTACGACTTGCAACACTCCAGCCCTTCCCGTCACACGGGTTATAGGTAGTTTCACACGGCCGATATTACTACTGTTCCACGTTACTTAGCATTGCACTATATTGTGTTAGCAGCTCATATCGTGTGATAGCAAAAATGGGATTGGTCAACACGAACAGAATGTGTGCAAAGTTTAATCATGTTACATGATCATATTTAGTAACAATGAACCCGAATGCTTGCATCTGCGATGTTGGCATATTATAAACTGAATGCTCGGGTTCGTGTTCATATTGTGTGTATGGTTTAATTTAACGTTTCCAAGCGTATGAAATAATTGTGGGACTCATCTCGTTTTGAGAAAAAAAATTCCAAACAAATCACCACAACAACATGACCTGAACAAAAAACATAATATCCCTTCAGTTTCAACAATACTCTCCAGAAAGTAAAACAAAGCCTGGCAGGTGATTTCTAAAAGTTGGATTTTAGTTTTATAGTGTTTTATAGCTATTCAGAGAGAACTCAGGACCATTTGTCTAAATACGAAAGCCAAAGTGTTTGACTCACAACAGAATGCTAATTTTCACAAGTGTACATAGGGAGACAGATATATTCATACCAGATTGCACTGTCAGTATTCCTGCAGTTGTCAGAATCCCAACCTGGTAGGCATATTGTCCAGCATCAGATGCCGTAGCGCCTGTGATTATCAAACGTTGTGTTTGTCCAATCACTGAGATCTGATACTTGTTAGAGTTGGTTAGCTGTTGTCCATTCCTGATCCATCTTCCATTGTTGATATTAGCTTGTGAAAGTGTTGCCTCGAAGGTAACTGTTGCTCCCGACACTACATTCAGGTTCTGTAGTTGAGTGAGTATGCTTAACGCTGTAGCTGGAAAATATTATATATTCATGCTCACAGTAGTAGTAACAGTATTTAATAAAGATGTTTAGAGATCCGTATTTGTTAACTGGGGGACGTATCTGTCGGTTTAAATACGATATGATTCCCTGTGCCAGGATCTAGTCATTTTGGGGATCGAATTCAGATCACAATGACTGTGATCCTTGGTTTGCCAGAACCGTATCTGTGCTCATGGGGCTCATCAAAGCAATAGAAGTTTATGACTTTCTAGCCATTCCTGCCACACCGTGATAAATGTAGTTTCACAAGGACGTTACTTGGATTGCACTCATTTGTGTTAGCAGCTCATATCGTGTGATAGCGAAAATGGGATTGGTCAACGCGAACAGAATGAGTTCGAAGTTAAATCGTTTTTACTGCTAATATTCAGTAACAATGAACCCGAATGTTTGATTGATATCAAATGTCCGTGCAGGTTTGATAATCTCGTTGACACATGTCGTGTTTCCAAGGCAACGTCACTCGAATCATTAACTGAATGAAAACCAGTACACAGAATGAAATCGATGAGCATTATCTCAAGGATTACTCGCATCAATAGCTTCAACGCAAAGAAAGACTTGTGTTGTTTTTGTGGTGATCTTGGACACACATGTTACATTTGCCTTGTGATTAAATTACTTTCACAGTCATCCCAAATGTTGGCATTTTTTAACCTGAATGTTCGGGTTTGTGTTAATGTGTGTGTGTGTGTGTGTGTGTGTGTTATCTTAAGGTTTCCAAGTGTATGACACAATTGTGGGATTGATCTCTTTTTGACAAACATAAACTCTAACAGCATGACCTGAACAAATGATAATATCCCTTCAGTTTCAATAATACTCTCCACAAAGTAAAACAGCGCTTGGCCTTTTCTAAAAGTTGGATTTTAGTTTTCTACTGTTTTGTAGCTGTTCAGGGAGAATTCAGGATCATTTGTCTAAATCCATAAACGGCTTATAAGTGTTTGACTCACAACAGAATGCTAATTCTCATGAGCTGTACATAAGGAGATAGATATATTCATACCTGTTTGCACTGTCAGTGTTCCCGTAGTTAGCAGAGACCCAACCTGGTAGGTGTATTGTCCAGCATCAGATGACGTGACGCCTGTGATTACCAAACGTTGTGTTTGTCCAGTCACTGAGATCTGATACTTGTTAGAGTTAGTTAGCTGTTGTCCATTCCTGATCCATCTTCCGTTGTTGATATTAGCTTGTGAAAGTGTTGCCTCAAAGGTAACTGTTGCTCCCGCTACTACATTCAGGTTCGGTAGTCCAGACTGGATAGTGGGTGTGGGGACCCCTGAAGCAGATCATTGCGTGAAAACTGTGCGAAATATTGAAAAGTTTAACTTGCATTCTCACTGAAGCTGTTTAATAATCTTCTTGTTTGTATCGGTGGGGTGGGGTAGTCAAGTGAGTAAAGTGTTTGCTCAGAGGACCTGGGTTCGATTCCCCACATGGGTAGAATACGTGCTTTTTGTGTAACATCGCTAAAGCGGCGTAACACTAAACTCACTCACACTCTTGTTTACATCGATTACTGAAATCCTGTGTCCACTAATATCTTGTCATGACTTGTACTTGTGCATTACTGCACCGATTAACTGTACAAATCGCTGATGTGAAATTCCGATCATTAGTACAACTACGATGGAAATACATGAAACCTGGACATCAAACAGTGTGCCAGTATGTGTCAGACACAGTTATATTGCAAACGTAAGAATAGTTGGCACATTTCACGTTACATTTGCCTTGAGTTACATCTTATATCCTCATTGTTGACTGGACCTTGGTGATTTGAAAAAAACATGGAACAAATGTTACACACGTTTCCTTATCGACTTGAAGGGCCGGGTTCGAATCCTCGGTCATGTGAGAGAAAGTATGTACTGTATGTAACTGTATGAATAGTATTGGTCCTACGCCAATTTATGTGTCACTCGCTCGTTCACTCACGCATTCACTCACGCACGCGCTCACTCACTCACAGAACATTGTAAATCATACCCTTTATTGTCTAAGTAAATTATAAAGCTTACCATTTACAATAAGACTGGCTGATACCTGGAAGGTATTCACACGAAATGTGTAGGTACCAGCGTCTGCAGCCTCGATGTTCTGTATGACGATTTGCCTTACGTTGTTCGAAACCGTTATGAATATCTTTCCGGGAGTCGCGGTCAATCGTACACCGTTTCTAAACCAGCTACCATCTCCCTGGGTTCCATCTGTTAATATCAGCTGGAAGTAGGCAAAACCCCACGGTACTGTTGGCGTCAGCAGGGTCCAGCTGAAAACCTGGCGAAAATAAATACGTCAGTTAAGTGCTACTTTGTTGTTTAGTTTTACAGATTAAGATGAAAATGCAGCAGAGAGGGTTCAGGTGATCCTGGCACAGTCAGGTTGGTAAGGCTCATCATCAGCTCAGGGCCCTCGCCCCCTCTACACGCAGCCCAGACAGCGAATGGGACTTCTCCCAGGAAACGCTGCCTAGTCGAACCCACCAAGACACCACCGGAGAATATGTAGACTCCCCAACACTGCAGCCTTCTGCATTACACAGGGGTTATCATTTATTATTATTAATAGCAATACTATTATTCTAGAATGGGCATTGCATATCAATGGATTGAAACATTGGCTTTCCAATAAATAAAGCCGGAGGTAGTATAATGGAAATTGAGGCGTGACTGGAACAATAAGGAAACCGCCAATACAAGATGCATTAAACTCCAAACGTATCCATGAATAAATGCATGCATATTGACGAAAGTCAAATGCACAGTTACCTGGCGTTTGCTGCTGTGACGGGGTGATACAACAGAGAACCACACACAGCAACGGTAACAACATTGTCTTGCACATCGTCACTCAGCACCCTGAAACCAAGGAATACATTACATCCGTGTACCAGGTATGGTTGACTTATACCCATGAATACAAGTAGCAACATCATGCATTTTGGGTTCATCTGAACAGAAACGCCTTCATCTAGATGCAATGTTAAATGGGTAACTAGTATGACTAAATATAATTCAAAACACTGATATATAGTGAAAAATGTGTAACATTTAAAATGTGATTCAATATCTTCTATTAATGGTAAACATAACTTGTGATATACTTTGGGGTATGTTTGAAGTATACGTTGCGTATAAAGTAACTATCTCAAACTGATATTATCATTTATACACTAACTTATACATACCCTGTTGTATATAAAGTAACTATCTCACTCTGACATAATCATTTACACACTTACTTATACATATCCTGTTGTATATAACGTAACTATCTCACTCAGATATAATCATTTACACACTAACTTATACATACCCTGTCGTATATAAAGTAACTATCACACGCTGATATAATCATTTACAAACTAACTTATACATACCCTGTTGTGTATAAAGTAACTATCTCACAATGATATAATCATTTACACACTAACTTATACATACCCTGTTGTATATAAAGTAACTATCTCACAATGATATAATCATTTACACACTATAAAGTAACTATCTCACAATGATATAATCATTTACACACTAACTTATACATATCCTGTTGTGTATAAAGTAACTATCCGACTCTGATATAATCATTTACAATCTAACTTATACATATCCTGCTGTGTATAAAATAACTATCTCACTCAGATATAATCATTTACACACTAACTTATACATATCCTGTTGCATATAAAGTAACCATCTCACACTGATATTATCATTTACACTCTAACTTATACATACCCTGCTGTATATAAAGTAACTATCTCACTCTGATATAATAATTTACAGACTAACTTATACATATCCTGTTGTATATAAAGTAACTATATCACGCTGATATAATCATATACACACTAACTTATACATACCCTGTTGTCTGTAAAGTAACTATCTCACTCTGATATAATCATTTACAAACTAACTTATACATACCATGTTGTGTATGTAGTAACTATCTCACTCTGAAATAATCATTTACACACAAACTTATACATACCATGTTGTATATAAAGTAATTATCTCACTCTGATATAATCATTTACCCAAACTCATAAATACCCTGTTGTGTATACAGCAACTATCTCACTCTAATATAATCATTTACACACTAACTTATACATACTCTGTTGTATATAAAGAAACTATTACACTCTGTTATAATCACTTACACACTAACTTATACATATCCTGTTGTGTATAAAGCAACTATCTCACTCTGATATAATCAGTTACAAACTACCTTACACATATCCTGTTGTGTATAAAGCAACTATCTCACTCTGATATAATCAGTTACAAACTACTTTACACATATCCTGTTGTGTATAAAGTAACTATCTCACTCTGATATAATCATTTACAAACTAACTTATACATACCCTGTTGTGTAAATAAAGTAACTATCACACGCTGATATAATCATTTACAAACTAACTTATACATCTCCTGTTGTATATAACGTATATATCTCACTCAGATATAATCATGTACACACTAATTTATACATACCCTGTTGTATATAAAGTAACTATCACACGCTGATATAATCATTTACAAACTAACTTATACATACCCTGTTGTGTATAAAGTAACTATCTCACAATGATATAATCATTTACACACTAACTTATACATACCCTGTTGAATATAAAGTAACTATCTCACAATGATATAATCATTTACACTCTAACTTATACATATCCTGCTGTGTATAAAGTAACTATCTCACTCAGATATAATCATTTACACACTAACTTATACATATCCTGTTGCATATAAAGTAACCATCTCACACTGATATTATCATTTACACTTTAACTTATACATACCCTGCTGTATATAAGGTAACTATCTCACTCTGATATAATAATTTACAAACTAATTTATACATATCCTGGTGTATATAAAGTAACTATCTCACTGTGATATATTCATTTACACACAAACTCATACATACCCTGTTGTATGTAAAGTAACTATCTCACACTGATATAATCATTTACACACTAAATTATACATATCATGTTGAGCATAAAGTACCTATCTCAGACTGATATAATCAGTTACACACAAGCTTATATATACCCTGCTGTATATAAAGTAAGTATCCCACACTGATATAATCATTTACAAACTAACTTATACATACCCATGTGTGTATGTAGTAACTATCTCACTCTGAAATAATCATTTACACACAAACTTATACATACCATGTTGTATATAAAGTAATTATCTCACTCTGATATAATCATTTACCCAAACTTATAAATACCCTGTTGTGTATACAGCAACTATCTCACACTAATATAATCATTTACACACTAACTTATACATACCCTGTTGTATATATAGAAACTATTACACTCTGTTATAATCACTTACACACTAACTTATACATATTCTGTTGTGTATAAAGCAACTATCTCACTCTGATATAATCATTTACATACAAGCTTATACATACCTTGTTGTATATAAAGTAACTATCTCAGTCAGATATAATCATTTACACACTAACTTATACATATCCTGTTGCATATAAAGTAACTATCTCACACTGATATTATCATTTACACTCTAGCTTATACATACCCTGTTGTATATAAAGTAACTATCTCGATCTGAAATAATAATTTACAAACTACCTTATACATATCCTGTTGTATATAAAGTAACTATATCACGCTGAAATAATCATATACACACTAACTTGTACATACCCTGTTGTGTATAAAGTAACTGTCTCACACTGTTATTATCATTTACAAACTAAATTATACATACCCTGTTGCATATAAAGTAACTCTCTCGCACTGATATAATCATTTACACACAAACTTATACATACCCTGTTGTATATAAAGTAACTATCTCACGCTGATATAATAATTTACACAACTAACTTATAGATACACTGTTGAGTATAAAGGAACTATCTCAAACTGATATAATCATTTACACACTAACATATACATATCCTGGTGTATATAAAGTAACTATATCACACTCGTATAATCATTTACACACTAAATTATACACATCATTTGAGCATAAAATAACTCTCTCAGACTGATATAATCAGTTACACACAAGCTTACTTATACCCCTTTGTATATAAAGTAAGTATCTCACACTGATATAATCATTTACAGACTACCTTATACATATCCTGTTGTGTATAAAGTAACTATCTCACTCTGATATAATCATTTACACACAAACTTATACATATCCTGTTGTGTATAAAGTAACTATCTCACTCTAATATAATCATTTACACTCAAACGTATACATATCCTGTTGTGTATAAAGTAACTATCTCACTGTGATATAATCATTTACACACAAACTTATACATATCCTGTTGTATATAAAGTAACTATCTCAGACTGATATAATCATTTACACACAAACTTATACATATCCTGTTGTGTATAAAGTAACTATCTCACTCTGATATAATCATTTACACACAAACTTATACATATCCTGTTGTATATAAAGTAACTATCTCAGACTGATATAATCATTTACACACAAACTTACACATATCCTGTTGAAAAAAAAGCAACTACCGCACTCTGATATAATTATTTACACACTTACTTATATATTTTCTGTTGAAAATAATATAACAATCTCACTCTGATATAATCATTTACACACTAACTTATACATATCCTGTTGTATATAAAGTAACTATCTCACACTGGTATAATCATTTACATACTAACTTATACATATCCTGTTGTATATAAAGTAACTATCTCACTCAGATATAATCATTTACACACTAACTTATACATATCCTGTTGCATATGAAGTAACCATCTCACACTGATCTTATCATTTACACACTAACTTATACATACCCTGTTGTGTATAAAGTAACTATCTCACTCTGATATAATCATTTACAAACTTACTTATACATATCCTGTTGTGTATAAAGTAACTATCTCACACTGATATAATCATTTACACACTAACTTATACATACCCTGTTGTGTATAAAGTAACTATCTCACTCTGATATAATCATTTACACACAAACTTATACAGACCCTGTTGTATTTAAAGCAACTATGTTACTCTGACATAATCATTTACACTCAAACGTATACATATCCTGTTGTGTATAAAGTAACTATCTCACTCTGATATAATCATTTACACACAAACTTATACATATCCTGTTGTATATAAAGTAACTATCTCAGACTGATATAATCATTTACACACAAACTTACACTTATCCTGTTGAAAAAAAAGCAACTACCGCACTCTGATATAATTATTTACACACTTACTTATATATTTTCTGTTGAAAATAATATAACAATCTCACTCTGATATAATCATTTACACACAAACTTATACATATCCTGTTGTGTATAAAGTAACTATCTCACTCTGATATAATCATTTACACACAAACTTACACATATCCTGTTGTGTAAATAAAGCAACTATCTCACTCTGATATAATCATTTACATACAAGCTTATACATATCCTCTTGCATATAAAGTAACTATCTCACACTGATATTATCATTTCCACTCTAGCTTATACATATCCTGTTGTATATAAAGTAACTATCTCGATCTGATATAATAATTTACAAACTACCTTATACATATCCTGTTGTATATAAAGTAACTATATCACGCTGAAATAATCATATACACACTAACTTGTACATACCCTGTTGTGTATAAAGTAACTGTCTCACACTGTTATTATCATTTACAAACTAAATTATACATACCCTGTTGCATATAAAGTAACTCTCTCGCACTGATATAATCATTTACACACAAACTTATACATACCCTGTTGTATATAAAGTAACTATCTCACGCTGATATAATAATTTACACAACTAACTTATAGATACACTGTTGAGTATAAAGGAACTATCTCAAACTGATATAATCATTTACACACTAACATATACATATCCTGGTGTATATAAAGTAACTATATCACACTCGTATAATCATTTACACACTAAATTATACACATCATTTGAGCATAAAATAACTCTCTCAGACTGATATAATCAGTTACACACAAGCTTACTTATACCCCTTTGTATATAAAGTAAGTATCTCACACTGATATAATCATTTACAGACTACCTTATACATACCCTGTTGTGTATAAAGTAACTATCTCACTCTGATATAATCATTTACAAACTAACTTATACATACCCTGTTGTGTATAAAGTAACTATGTCACTCTGATATAATCATTTACACACAAGCTTATACATACGCTGTTGAGTATAAAGAAGCTATCTCACAATGATATAACCATTTACACCCAAACTTATACACACCCTGTTGTATTTAAAGCAACTATGTTACTCTGACATAATCATTTACACACAAGCTTATACATATCCTGTTGAATATAAAGTAGCTATCTCACACTGGTATAATCATTTACACACTAACTTATACATATCCTGTTGTATATAAAGTAACTATCTCACTCAGATATAATCATTTACACACTAACTTATACATATCCTGTTGCATATAAAGTAACCATCTCACACTGATCTTATCATTTACACACTAACTTATACATACCCTGTTGTGTATAAAGTAACTATCTCACTCTGATATAATAATTTACAAACTTACTTATACATATCCTGTTGTATATAAAGTAACTATCTCACACTGATATAATCATTTACACACTAACTTATACATACCCTGTTGTGTATAAAGTAACTATATCACTCTGATATAATCATTTACACACAAACTTATACATACCCTGTTGTGTATAAGGTAACTATCTCACTCTAATATAATCATTTACACTCAAACGTATACATATCCTGTTGTGTATAAGGTAACTATCTCACTCTAATATAATCATTTACACTCAAACTTATACATATCCTGTTGTGTATAAAGTAACTATCTCAGACTGATATAATCATTTACACACAAACTTACACATATCCTGTTGAAAAAAAAGCAACTACCGCACTCTGATATAATTATTTACACACTTACTTATATATTTTCTGTTGAAAATAATATAACAATCTCACTCTGATATAATCATTTACACACTAACTTATACATATCCTGTTGTATATAAAGTAACTATCTCACACTGGTATAATCATTTACACACTAACTTATACATATCCTGTTGTATATAAAGTAACTATCTCACTCAGATATAATCATTTACACACTAACTTATACATATCCTGTTGGATATAAAGTAACCATCTCACACTGATCTTATCATTTACACACTAACTTATACATACCCTGTTGTGTATAAAGTAACTATCTCACTCTGATATAATAATTTACAAACTTACTTATACATATCCTGTTGTATATAAAGTAACTATCTCACACTGATATAATCATTTACACACTAACTTATACATACCCTGTTGTGTATAAAGTAACTATCTCACTCTGATATAATCATTTACACACAAACTTATACATATCCTGTTGTGTATAAAGTAACTATCTCACTCTGATATAATCATTTACACACAAACTTATACATATCCTGTTGTATATAAAGTAACTATCTCAGACTGATATAATCATTTACACACAAACTTACACTTATCCTGTTGAAAAAAAAGCAACTACCGCACTCTGATATAATTATTTACACACTTACTTATATATTTTCTGTTGAAAATAATATAACAATCTCACTCTGATATAATCATTTACACACAAACTTATACATATCCTGTTGTGTATAAAGTAACTATCTCACTCTGATATAATCATTTACACACAAACTTACACATATCCTGTTGAAAATAAAGCAACTATCGGGCCCTGATATAATCATTTACACACAAACTTTACACATATCCTGTTGAAAATAAAGCAACTATCTCACCCTGATATAATCATTTACACACACAAAACTTTACATATCCTGTTGTATATAATGTAACTATCTCACGCTGATATAATCATTTACACACAAACTGATACATATCCTGTTGTGTATAAAGTAACTATCTCACTCTGATATAATCATTACATTCACCTGTACATATCCAAGTGTATATAAAGTAACTATCTTAGTCTAATATACTCATTTACACACTCACCTGTACATATGAAAGTGTATATAAAGTAAGTACCTCACTCTGGAATAGTCATTCAACATAACTGTGTATAAACTAATGCAATATACAACCATCATTCGATGAAATTGTCGCAGTCAACTTAAACTGCGTATAAACTAATGCAAGACACAACCATCATTCGATGAAATTGTCGCAGTCAACTTAAACTGCGTATAAGCTAATGCAAGACACAACCATCATTCGGTGAAATTGTCGTAGTCAACTTAAACTGCGTACATACTAATGCAAGATACAACCATCATTCGATGAAATTGTCGCAGTCAACTTAAACTGCGTACATACTAATGCAAGATACAACCATCATTCGATGAAATTGTCGCGGTCAACTTAAACTGCGTACATACTAATGCAAGATACATCCATCATTCGATGAAATTGTCGCAGTCAACTTCAACTGCGTATATACTAATGCAAGATACAACCATCAGACGATGAAATTGTCGCAGTCAACTTACTCTGCGTATAAACTAATGCAAGATACAACCATCATACTATGAAGCTATGCTAGCAAATAACTTAGATGCAAGTACTAGTGCATGTGGAAAATGCAAACCATGAATTGATAGTAACATACCCCAAAGATGGAGATACTGGAATGCTCAAAGCCAACCCTGAACTTTGATGCTGTCAGTGAAATCACTTGCACAAATGCTTAATGATGCACAGGCAGCCACTACCAAACTGTATAATAAATACTGGAACCCTTCACGATAACCTCGGGATCACCAATCATATGTCAGCATCATTTCACGATTATGCAATAGAAAGCATGCAACGAATGAATACCTCGATAAGTATTTTCTAGGAACCCTACCCACTACTGTTTAGCCACTGTTGTCAGATACACCTTCGACCGGCAGGACCGGTCGGAAATAGACAGCTCTGTATGTACTGATCGCCTGAGCAGGCACATAGACATCAAGGGTTCAGACCCATTGTCACAGAGATTAAAAGAACCCTTGGTAATTGCAAACCTATTGTGTAGTGTTCAACACCAGGATTAATCTGACAATATGGGATTTGCAGAATGCACCCCTTGCTGGTAACAAGAGGGCTAATTGCAAACCTGTTCGACAAGGTCTCACTCTGGTGTAATGTTATATCACTGATTAGAAACATGGCAACTAATTTGCGAAAGAAAATATGTAATGGTTTATTCTATTTTTTTCTCGTGATTCCACACTCAACCATGATAGATGAATAGTCTTTCACTTGATGGGCGGGCTTAACACTAGGCCATTCTGAAATTTACTCTATATGAAGGTCATCCGCGAGACATGAAGCAAGATTAGGTTAAATATCTCAACCATGTCTTCGTCAACATATATTTCTGACGTTAAAAAAGATTCCGTAACAATTTTGCCAGGAACAATAGATTGCTTCTGCGATTCAGAGGTGCATATCAACTTGTCTGCAATTTCTTGAGATGGGCGTGTTTACTAAGGCATCAAAAATTAACATAAGCGGGCGGCGAGGTAGCCTAGCATCGTTCGTCACGCTGAAGGCTCTGTTTCGAATAATAATAACGTTCATAAAATATTTCATTAGAAATTGAAAACTCATGGTGACACATTAATCGGTCTTCGCTCACAAGCCCCGTGGCAGTTATGCTACAAATGATAAGTTACCATATTGAAATTGGACTTCATGCTCAAGGCCATAATGAAATATATCCATGAGCATCAATCGTGCAATAACCAACTTTTTAAAGATGAGAACAAAACACATGTTGGAACATATGCTTTAAAACCGAAGTCATCGTGCTAAATAACCGGAATAATGGAGACCATTTTCATAAACATTTTTATCAAAATAATTATTTCTTTTGATTAACCGGTTTGGCTAAAGTTAACCGACGTCGTCAGGTTAAAAAAACTGGGAATAGTTGAGACCATTTTTTAAAGAAAAATATCAAAATCATTATTTCTGTTGGAAATATTTTTTTCAACTTTGAATGTATCTTTTAAAAACTCTAACAAATTATTCAATTTTGGATACATTTTATTCAGAGTGCAAATGTTAATGTTTTATTTTAGCAGAGAGGATTATATGATTTAATAGTGGGTCTTTTTTAAACTTTCAACCCAAACGAGGAATTGTGTCAGTTGCAAAAAGTTTACGTTGGCAATAATGAAGGTTATTTTTGACATTGTAATAAAATTGTTTTATGTATAGAAACGACGCCCGTGCTCAGTCGGACATGTGAATGATTAGGTGAATGTATTCATTTCCTCCAGAGTTGAATCCAAAGATCATATGTAGGAAATACATTATTTACAAAACATTATTTGCATTACTTCAGTGTATGAAATGATATGATATGCTTTTCTACTTCTTAATAGAGAGGGCGGTGGGGTAGCCTAGTGGTTAAAGCGTTGGCTCGTCACGCGGAAGACCCGGGTTCGATTCCCCACATGGGTACAATGTGTGAAGCCCATTTCTGGTGTCCCCCGCCGTGATGTTGCTGGAATATTGCTAAAAGCGGCGTAAAACCAAACTCAGTCAGTCAGTCTTAATAGAGAATTTCCAGTGAACAATTTGCGAGCAGGAGGGTTTTGGTTTGTTTTGGGGTTTTTGTTTTACGCCGGACTCAGCATTGGACATGTGAAGTTTATGCATTCTAATGCAGTAGGATAGTAGAAAGAGTTTTGTATGTGTTATTCAGCCAAGGTTAGATATACAGTTGTGTCAACACGACACTGACTGCTCGTTAAGGAAATAAAATGATCTCTTATGTTATTGTTTACACATAAGGCTGAACACATACACATTTCAACACAATACCTCAACCACTCCCAATGCAGGGTTCATATATTTACAAATAAATATTGCATTAAATGGTTCAAATGGTCTCGTCCCTGTAGTTGTTTGTTTGGTGTTCGCTCCCTGTAATATTCCGACTATATGTAAATAATCGAGTCTGGACTAGAAGATCCAGTGATTGAGAGCAACAATCAACGACATCGGCGTACGATGCGTCAAGCAACTAAGTAAGAAGGAAGACCGACGATCGATATGGTCACCTCTTACGACCATCCTAGATTACTAAAGATCAGGGCCCTTATTCCCGAAACGTTCTTAGCCCTAAGAATTCTTTACTTTGATCATAGAAAATGAGTTAAGAATGGGCTTAAGAAGATCGTAGGGCTACGAACGTTTCGAGAATAGCTAGCAAGTTCTGATCGGGAATCCTCATACGGGTTAGTTTGTTGGAGGCCAGTTCTCACGCGAAATCCCCAATGAGAGTCAAGCATTGGTTATTGAAGACCAGTTCTCTCGGGGAATCTTCAATGAGAGTCCACTATAGGTTGTTGGAGACCAGTTCTCTCGGGGAATCCCCAATGAGAGTCAAGCATTTGTTGTTGAAGACCAGTTCTCTCGGGGAATCCTCAATGAGAGTCCATTATAGGTTGTTGGAGACCAGTTCTCTCGGGGAATCCCCAATGAGAGTCAAGCATTGGTTGTTGAAGACCAGTTCTCTCGGGGAATCCTCAAAGAGAGTCCAATATAGGTTGCTGGAGACCAGTTCTCTCGGGGAATCCTCAATGAGAGTCCAGCATTGGTTGTTGGAGACCAGTTCTCTCGGGGAATCCTCAAAGAGAGTCCAATATAGGTTGCTGGAGACCAGTTCTCTCGGGGAATCCTCAATGAGAGTCCAGCACTGGACTTTGGAGACCAGTTCTCTCGGGGAATCCTCAATGAGAGTCAAGCATTAGTTGGTGAAGACCAGTTCTATCGGGGAATCCTCAATGAGAGTCCAGCATTGGTTGTTGGAGACCAGTTCTCTCGGGGAATCCTCAATGAGAGTCAAGCATTGGTTGTTGAAGACCAATTCTCTCGGGGAATCCTCAGTGAGAGTCCAGCATTGGTTGTTGGAGACCAGTTCTCTCGGGGAATCCCTCAATGAGAGTCCAGCATTGGTTGTTGGAAACCAGTTCTCTCGGGGAATCCCCAATGAGAGACCAGCATTGATTGTTGGAGACCAGTTCTCTCGGGGAATCTTCAATGAGAGTCCAGCATTCGTTGTTGGAGACCAGTTCTCTCGGGGAATCCTCAATGAGAGTCCAGCAGTGGACTTTGGAGACCAGTTCTCTCGGAGAATCCTTAATGAGAGTCCAGCATTGGTTGTTGGAGACCTTTTCTCGGGAAAAACTCAATGAGAGTCCAGCATTGGTTGTTGGGGACCTGTTCTCTCGGGGAATCTCCAATGAGAGTTCATCATAGTTTGATGGGGACCGGTTCTCTCGGAGAAACCTCAATGAGAGTCCAGAATAGGTTGTTGGGGACCAGTTCTCTGAGGGAATCCCCAGTGAGAATCGTGAATGAGAATACAGCATTGGTTGTTGGGGACCAGTTCTCTCGGAGAATCCTCAATGAGAGTCCATCATAGTTTGATGGGGACCTGTTCTCTCGGAGAATCCTCAACGAGAGTCCAATATAGGTTGTTGGAGACCAGTTCTCTCGGGGAATCCCCAAATGAGAGTCCATCATAGTTTGATGTGGGCCCGTTATCTCTGGGAATCCCCAATGTGAGTCCATCATAGTTCGTTTGTGACCACTTTAACAGAAACCTTTGCTTAAGAAAGTGTCCTGTCTAACAATGGTCCAAGGTAGCACCAATCGCTACCACTGTGGGGAAGGCAAAAAACCATGACCAAGTTGACGTATTACGCACCTACATCAACAAATACAATTTGACAATACATATTGAATTAAGTTTGCTCTGTTCGAATTCAGGTAAGACTGGGTCTTCACAATCTGAGCATGTCGTACGAGGCGATTGAATAGATAGGTAGTCCTGGTCAAGGTATATGTTACAGTATGTGTGTCATCGAGAGCCAGCGAGGCGTTATGCCACAGAAACCATTTGAATTAGTTTGGAATTGTGAAATTGTTTAGCCATGCTGAAATTGTTTCAAACAGTGAGATAGCTGACACGATTATCAATTAAACTCAAGTATGAGCCTTAACGCAGATACAAGTAACAAACTATCTCATCCGTCACAGATCTGATAATATTCTTATTATAGAATTCCCGAAGTTGATCGGCAGGTTGCATGCTATGGAAAAAACATGAAGAGCGTGTCTCCGCAAGCACATGGCTATAGGCAGTAGACGAAAACAATTACATTGTCCACTTATGTCGCTTGCAATGGCTTATATAAGGACAAACTTTATGGATGAACAACTTCTATACTCCCCATCAAAAGTTTAGACTCACTAGTGTAAATGTAGCCACTTACTTAAGTCAACTCTTCTTAACTAGATTTTGCAAAATTTTCCATACTGTTTAAAGGTACTGTTTTCATATCAACTGATGTATTTTAAAACAAATTGGTAACGTTGAAAATATTATTGTCATGGGTTAAAAAAATGATGAAACTGAGTGAAAATTGGCGATTTTTTAACGAAATGTTACACCATAACACAGCTGTTCACGATATTTGCACATGACCTTTCGCAATTTAATGCATGACCCTCGTGCAATTCATCTGCATAAAGTTTGCAGTTGGTTCCCCAGAGTAAGTGGAGAAATTCATCTTCGATGTAACCATACATATATGCATAACACATAGTGAGTGCTTTAAGTGAGTCTAAACTTTTGATGGGTAGTATATGTTTAGGTGATGCGACGTTTCGATACAGATTCTTGTATCGTTGTCAAACGAGTATGATACTGTATCGAAACGTCGCATCGCCTGAATAAAGAAGTTGTTCATCCATAAAGTTTGTCTGTATGTTACTCTCAAACTTCTAAATAATTCCACTTAAAGAAGTTGCAATGGCTTAGACAATACAGTAAGAAATTATTAAATTTGATTATGACCAGCCAAAGAAATGTATTAAAATGACAAACGACTAAGAGCGATACAATGATACTATTCATACTATACATCATATATAATACCGTATTTACTTCATACATTTCTTGTAGTAGTTAGCTGGTATTTACTTTCTGATATTTAATAACTGATGCATGTTTGAAATAGGTCAAGTCTGTGAAGAAATTTGTAAAAATCATAAACATAAAAATACGGCATGCGCTCTGCCCCCGGGTTGTTTCAATCAACTCAGGACATGAAACAGACTCGTTGTAATATGTAGAATATATCAGTTTGATCCGACGTCGGTAAGGGTTAGTGATGTACCGAGACATTGATATATGCTATAATGCTGAAACTACCCATAATAGCTGATAAAAGTTGCTATGCTCATAAATATGTACACACATATATTACTCTTTCTACAAAAGTATGTACGATTACGTGACTGATATACCGTACAATATATCAGTTGATCATTCACTTCAGCAGAAAACAACAACAAATCTATTTACATACCACTACAACTGTCCTAAAATACAGTCATGAAAAAACATGTATTTGTCACGGGTACAAGATAAGTAAGTGATACATAGACACAATATCTAAGAAATCTCAGAGCTTACCGTCCGAAACTGATGCAATCACGGGGTGCGTTTCCTATCCACCTAGATCTCACCACACCCACACCACACAGTCCTTTAGGTATCAACCCACCGTCACGGACACAGCCAGGGCTGAACAGGTAGACCGGGTCTGTTCGTGAGTCCTACCCAGCGCTCCCAGTCTTGTTGGTTAACAACAGGTTTTCAATTGCACACGCGTACAGTCGGGTGGTC